AAAAACAAAGTTGGGGTTAGCTAAAATAAAGATATTATTGATTCTATGCTAATATAGTTGCAACTTTTTAAACCCAAAATCAATATATAGCTCGGGCAATTGCATATTTCAACTTTCAAGGATAAATTTTCATGTATATACATCATGACATCTAGACTTCAAATTTTAGGATGATAGTTTTTAAGATTGAACCCCAAAAAAAAAAAACATAACTGGACAAAATATAGGAAAATGTTAACAAGTTTGAAACAAAACACTAAACACTCTTTTTTAAAAAATTAAAAAAAATAAAAAAAAATATAAATTAAAACACCGAACAATTAACTGGATTTAGAAGGAATTAAGATTGGAAATAACAGAGAAAAAAAATTAAGACTTAACCATCAAACTACGTTCAATGAAGCACTTGAAGTAACATAATAGGCGACTGCAAAGAGTGCATGAACCATGCACAAAATCCCGCCTGTCGATAGAAAATGGTGGTGCGTGAATCCACACGAAGCCCTCGACTTTCTGTTCGCCATTGTCCCAATCACCAGCATCGACAACCCAACCGCCACTATTATCCTGAAAGATAAACCACGAAGCGCTTCATCTTAAATTGGTCTAACCTACTAGACTATTTTGGTAAATCTAGTTTATAGCTTTTAAGTGAATTTTGAACTTATAGCTGATAGTTTATGACTTATGACTGAAAAAGTAGTTTATATGACAGATGTGTTTGGTAAAATTTACTGTTAAGCTAGCTGAAATAAAATTTACAATTGGCTTATTTTAAAAGCTACCCAAGAAAACTTACTCGTCTTACCAAACCAAGTTTATTTGGATACAAGAAGCTTATAAATTAATCAAATAAGTTATAAGTTAGCTTATATGTTTATCAAACACAGCCTTAGGCTGACCAACCAAAAATGAGAGAGAGAGAGAGAGAGAGAGAGAGAGAGAGAGATGGTACCAAGTGAAAACAAGGCAAGCCACAGAGATCTTCTTGCTAGGTGGAGCTTTATGGAACTCTTCTTGGCTGCAAATATTGCACCCTCCCACCAAATTGGCTAAAACATGAGCCAATGCAAGAAGAGTAGCCGCAGCTACACCAAGGACGAATGCATCATGGCTTGGCTCTTTGCACTCGAATATCCATAGCCTCAAATGCTTTTCCTAATCAATCAACATATTAGAAACTTGATCCGAATAATTTTTTTTTTTCAAAAACAAAAAAAAAAAGAAGATACATTGAATCTTTAACGAAGTCAGACGTTTAAACTGACCTGGTTTTGAGCGGCTTCGGCTTTGATTCCGAGAATGCCGGCAATGACGTCCAAAGTCACTATCAAGAAACATGCGAAAATGCCGATAAGCTTTCCCATTATATCCTCAGAGAACCCTCTTAAAGATAAAGAAATTTAAATCATATATATGAAAATGAGAAATGTAACAAATGGAGGTAATATATAGAGAGAGAGAAGTAGAAAGTATTAAACAATAAGTATACATGTAATTTGATCTACATGATTCTTGAAAAAAAGCTTCTTTTGTCAATTAATGGTGACTATATTTGCTTTTATGCCTACATTTTTTTGAATTAATTTAACTTCTCTTTGTTTGGTTGCTTTTCTATATTCGTTTAATGGAGGAAGAAGCAAAGTATGGTATAAACCAACTAAGGAGTAATGTGGATATTTCTGGTTTGGCATCTTTTTCTTACATCATGTGTGGTATAAAAAGTGGATGAATATAATTCTCCTTCTTTACAGTTCATGTGCATGATCTTGGTTTTTATTTTTGTTTATGTGGACTTTCCAACTTTTTTTTAGATTACATTTAAAATATAATTATATATTAACATTAAAATAATAAGCAGAATTTTTTTTTT